TTCTTTCCTTTTTTTTCTCTCTCTCTCTCTCTCTCTCTCTCTCTCCTCTCCCCTCTTGTCCCATTCTCCCTCATCTCTTCTCCAAACCTTTCTCTTCTTTTTTTTGGTTGTTTTGCTTTCTTTCCTCTTCATTCTCTCTCTCTCTCTCTCTCTCTCTCTCTCTCTCTCTCTCTCCTCTTGTCCCATTCTTCTCATCTCTTCTTCAAACCTTTCTCTTCTTCTTTTGGTTTCTTTCTTTTCCTCTTCTTCTCTCTCTTCTCTCTCTCTCTCTCTCTCTCTTGTCCCATCTCTTCATCTTCTCCTTTGTCCTTCTTTTGGTTGTTTTGCCCTCTTCATTCTCTCTCTCTCTCTCTCTCTTTCCTCTCCCTCTCCCATTCTTTTCAAACCTTTTTTCTTTTGGCTTTTGTTTTCTTTCCTCTTCATTTTCTCTCTCTCTCTCTCTCTCTCTCTCTCCCTCTTGTCCCATTCTCCTCATCCTTCTCCAAACCTTTCTTCTTCTTCTTTTGGTTGTTTTGCTTTCTTTCCTCTTCATTCTCTCTCTCTCTCTCTCTCTCTCTCCCTCTTGTCCCATTCTTTTCTCATCTCTTCTTCAAACCTTTCTCTTCTTCTTTGGTTTGGTTGTTTTTTCCTTTTTCTCCTCTTCTCTCTCTCTCTCTCTCTCTCTCTCTCTTGTCTCTCTCTCTTCGCCTCTCCCTCTTTCTTGTCCCATTCTTTTCTCATCTCTTCTTCAACCTTTCTCTTCTTCTTTTTCTTGTTTTTGTTTTTTCTTTCCTCTTCATTTCTCTCTCTCTCTCTCTCTCTCTCATTTCTCTCCCTCTTGTCTCATTCTCCCCTCATCTCTTCTCCAAACCTTTCTCTTCTTCTTTTGGTTGTTTTGCTTTCTTTCCTCTTCATTCTCTCTCTCTCTCTCTCTCTCTCTCTCTCTCGCCTCTCCCTCTTGTCCCATTCTTTCTCATCTCTTCTTCAAACCTTTCTCTTCTTCTTTTGGTTGTTTTGCTTTCTTTCCTCTTCATTCTCTCTCTCTCTCTCTCTCTCTCTCTCTCTCTCTCTCTCCCTCTTGTCCGATTCTCCCTCATCCCTTCTTCCAAACCTTTCTCTTCTTCTTTTGGTTGTTTTTTGCTTTCTTTCCTTCATTCTCTCTCTCTCTCTCTCTCGCCTCTCCCTCTTGTCCCATTCTTTCTCATCTCTTCTCAAACCTTTCTTGTCCCATTCTTCTCTCTCTCTCTCTCTCTCTCGCCTCTCCCTCTTGTCCGATTCTCCCTCATCTTTCTCCAAACCTTTCTCTTCTTCTTTTTTTGTTGTTTTGCTTTCTTTCCTCTTCATTCTCTCTCTCTCTCTCTCTCTCTCTCTCTCTCTCTCTCTCCTCTTGTCCGATTCTCCCTCATCTCTTCTCCAAACCTTTCTCTTCTTCTTTTGGTTGTTTTTGCTTTCTTTTCTTCTTTTGATTCTTCTCTCCTCTCTCTCTCTCTCTCTCTCTCGCCTCTCCTCTTGTCCCATTCTTTCATCTCTTCTTCAAACCTTTTCTATTCTTCTTTTGGTTGTTTTGCTTTCTTTCCTCTTCATTCTCTTCTCTCTCTCTCTCTCTCTCTCTCTCTCCTCTCCTCTTGTCCCATTCTCCCTCATCTCTTCTTCAAACCTTTCTCTTCTTTTTGGCTGTTTGCTTTCTTTTCCTCTTCATTTCTCTCTCTCTCTATCTCTCGCCTCTCCTCTTTGTCCCATTCTCCTTCATCCCTTCTTCAAACCTTTCTTTCTTCTTTTTCGTTGTTTTGCTTTCTTTCCTCTTTCTCTCTCTCTCTCTCTCTCTCCTCTCTCTCTGTCCCATTTGTCCCCATTTTCATCTCTTCTTCAAACCTTTCTCTTCTTCTTTTTTTGGTTGTTTTGCTTTTCCTTCCTCTTCTCTCTCTCTCTCTCTCTCTCTCTCTCTCTCGCCTCTCCCTCTTGTCCGATTCTCCCTCATCTCTTCTTCAAACCTTTCTCTTCTTCTTTTGGCTGTTCTGCTTTCTTTTTTGGCTCTTTCATTTTCTCTCTCTCTCTCTCTCTCTCTCTCTCCCTCTTGTCCCATTCTCCCCATCCTTTCTCCAAACCTTTCTCTTCTTTTTGGTTGTTTTGCTTTCTTTTCTTCCTCTCTCTCTCTCTCTCTCTCTCTCTCTCTCTCTCCTCTCCCTCTTGTCCCATTCTTTCTCATCTCTTCTTCAAACCTTTCTTCTTCTTTTGGTTGTTTTTGCTTTCTTTCCTCTTCTTCTCTCTCTCTCTCTCTCTCTCGCCTCTCCCTTTGTCCGATTCTCCTCATCTTTCTCCAAACCTTTCTCTTCTTTTGGCTGTTTTGCTTTCTTTCCTCTTCATTCTCTCTCTCTCTCTCTCTCTCTCGCCTCTCCCTCTTGTCCGATTCTCCCTCATCTCTTCTCCAAACCTTTCTCTTCTTCTTTTGGCTGTTTTGCTTTCTTTCCTCTTCATTATCTCTCTCGCTCTCCACCCCCCTCTCTTATTTTCATTCTTTTAA